ACCGAAGGCCAGGCGGGTGCTGTTGGCTCCGTGTCGGAGCCCAGTGGGAACCCCCCTCATCCCCCCCATAAACACAATGCTTTTGTCACCTTCGGGAACCACGACCTGGTCTGGACACACGGGGGACAGGGACAGGGACAGCAGGGAATGCGATTTTTTTTATTGTGGGGTTTTTCTTTTTTTTGTATTTTTTTTTTTTATCTGTTTGTTTGTTTGTTTGGGTTTTTTTTGGATGGTCGAGATGAGCTTATTGCGAGATTCCAGCTTCCTAGTCTAAAAAATAAAAATAAAATAAAAATAAGATAAACCCTTCCATAAAATCCATTCTCAACAATACATAAAAAAAACCGCTCACAGTATAGCGCTGTATGTACAGGGACGGAGCCCTCGGGAAGGGCCAGGATCCACGTGGAATGGGGGCTGCGGCTGGGGCTGAGCCCATCACCGGCATCCCCTGGGACCACCAACCCCCTGGGGAATGGGGGGGCTCTGTGGGACAGGCAGGGGACCCCCCCAGGTGGGACAGCCCCAGATTTAAGGCGAGGAGGGGTCAGACCCCGGGGCTGCGGGGGGACCCCTCCCTGGGGACCTGCCACCCCTGGGGTCAGGGCCAACCTCGGATCAGGGGTTTTGGGGGGGGGGGTTTGCTTATTAATGCAAAGGAAAAGGGAAAAATCCCCAAGCCCAACCCCGGAATGTCGGGGGGCAAAGGGGGGACCATGGGGAGCACCACGATGGACGTGGCCCCCCTGGGGGGACTCTTGGACCCCCAAGGCATCGGGGGGACACGGTGCAGAGCGGAGGAGGAAAATCCATGGCACAGCCTCCTCCCGCCCCGGCGAGCTCAGCCCTGCTCCGGCAGGGCTCCAGCCCCGGCGCCGGACAAATGCCCTTGGAATGATGCCCACGGCTGGGCGAGCCCGGCCCGCCGGCTCCCAGCGCCCGGCGGTGCTTCCCGTGCCAGCCGGCCATTCCCGGTGTTCCCAGTGCCGGCCATTTTCAGTGCCAGCTATTCCTGGTGCTCCCAGTGCCGGCCATTTTCAGTGCCAGCCATCTCCAGTGCTGTCCATGCTCGGTGCTCTCTGTGCCGGCCATTCCCGGTGCTCCCTGTGCCAGCAGACATCCCCCCTGCTCTTCCTGCCGGCCATTCCCGGTGCTCTCCACGCCACCCATTCCAGTGCTCCCGGTATCAGCCGGCCCTTCCCGGTGCTCTCCCAGCACTGGCCATCCCGGTGCTCTCTGCCGGCCGTTCCCGGTGCTCCCCTCGGCTGTATCCAGTTTCCTCTGCTGCTCACGGAGCCGTCCCGGTGTTCCATGGGGACACTGGTGCCATCTGTGGCACGAGCGAAGGGAATGGGGTGACCCCCCCAGGGGGGCTGTGTCTGTCCACCCTCGTGTCCGGGGGTGTCTGGGGGTGTCCGGACCGGCTCTGTGACATCCTGCGGCCGGGCTGGGAAGGAGTCCGTGCCCACGGAGCCGTTGGCACCATCGCTGTGTCCGGCGGTCCCGGCAATCCGGAGGCTCCACCGGGCGGGGGCTGAGCCTGGCCCCGGGCAGGTCAGTCTGGCCTGGGGGGGGGGCCCGGCCGGGAAAAAACCCAACAACTAAAAATAAAAACCTTTTTTTTTTTTTTTAAAAAAAAAAAAAAAAAAAAAAGAAAAAACCAACGGACGAGGACTCTGTATTTGGTCTAGAAATGTAAAAAGCGATGCCCGACCGGGATGGCCGGAGCTCGAGCTGCAGGACAGGGATGGGAGCCGGGATCCATCCCACGGGACAGCCCGGCACCGCTCCCCAAGGGGTGACTGTGCCACCACAGGGACTTCTCGTGGCCGCAGGATCCTCGCCGGCAGCACCAGTGACCTCCCCAGGCACCATCCAGGCAGGATCCGTGCCCGGGCTGCTCCCGCCCCGCGGAGCCGCTCCCGGCGCGTCGGGGTCGGGCTACGAGGCCAGGAGCGTCCAGACGACCGGCACCACCGCCAGCGCGGCCGGCGGGACCCTGAGGCTGCAGCAGGAGTTGTTGCTGGTGAAAATGGGCTCCGGGGACTCGTAGAGGGAATCGTCTGTGGAAAAGGAGGAAGAGAGGGATGTGTGAGCCGGGGCACGGCTGAGAGCCAGGCTGGACCCAGCCCGGGCAGGGCAGTGGGGATGCTCAGCACGCTGGGACTGGGGTCCCGAGAGGAGCTGGGTACTGATCCTCCCCCAGATCCCAATGTCCCCAAAAGTACTGCTGCCATCCCCAGGACCTGACACAGGGACAGCCCCGTGTGGCTCCACAGCCCCGTGTCCCAGGGAAGGGCAGTGTGGGGATGACACGGGTGCTCTCCGGGGAGGGAGGGTGGGTGAGGGCACAGAGCTCTCCGGTTCCAGGGATTTTTATGGACCTAGAGGCAGGAAAAGCAGAGCCTGGTCCTGTCTAGGGACGCTCCATTGCTCCACCCATCCGATTCCCTTGTTCCCCCTCATTCTGGAGGGTCCCTGTGTGGGGTCCCCCCAGACCGGGGTCCCCTGTGCCAGGCATTTGCAATTGGGAATATTTCAGGACCCAGTCGAGGGGTGTCCAGGTGCCCCCTCAGGTGCCCCTCACCACCCCCAGGGCCCAGCCCCTCTCCCCTTCCCTTCCCCTCCGCAAGGTGGAAATAAAAAAAATCCCAGTATTATTAACATACTAAAAAATAACATCGGGAGAGATCTTCTCCCCTCGTTCTGAAGGGAAGGTGATGAGTTTTTACAGACGGTTCCGTTATGCTGGGTTTTATTTTAAAGCCACTAAAGAAAGGAGGCGAGAGCCATCCGTTACCCAGTGACATTCCGCTGTCCCCGGGGAGAGCCGCTGCCATTTGCTAATTACACGTTAACAGGAGAAGAAAATTATTAATTTGTTTTTTTAAATGGCTGATTTATGCGAGCCGGAGAAGTGGCCACAGCGCAGAGATTATTGTTGCTATTAATTATTTTTTTTTCCCTGTCTGTCCACCACGGGCTGGACAGGCTGGGATGGCTCTGTCAGGGCTGGGGGTCCCTGTCCCCATCCCTGTCCCCATCCCCAGGGCCACCACCCGCCCTCACCCCGCAGGGCAGGACCCAGGGGCCCCCCAGGGACCCCCCAATCTCTGACTTACTCGTTGGCCGAACATAAACCTTCAGCTTCAGGCAGGGCCTGTCCACCATGTTCGGGGGGGATGCGGCTGAGGGGAAGAAAAGGGGAGAGAGACCAGTGGGTTGGGAGGGGCAGAGACAAAGTGAGGGTCAAGCACTGAGAAACAATAATAAACACTGGAAGAAAGGGAGGAATCGCAGTAATTATCGAGGTGAAAGTCCCTCTCAGGGCGAGAAAATGGGATTTTTTTTAATATATATATATATATATATATATTTATAAAGGAATTTAATTTTCTCTGTAGTTTTCTTTTTAATTTTAAAAGCAGATTTATTTTTTTTTTTCCCAGACCTTTCCTTTTCTTTTGCCTTTTGGTGCTGCACCCCACGGGGGGGGAAGGAGAAGGTGCCAAGCCAAGTGGCACCACGGGGATCCCACAGCATCCCATCCCACAGCATCCCATCCCACAGCATCCCATCCCACAGCATCCCATCCCACAGCATCCCATCCCACAGCATCCCATCTCCCATCCCAGCTCCATCCCCCGGTCCCCAGGGCCACGAGGTGCCCTTGACCCCTGCCAGGGCCACGAGCGTGTCCCGGTGCCGGCGGGTTAATGGATTCCAATCCATGGGCTCGAGGAGGAGGTAATTTCTTTTCTTTCATGTCTGCTAAATACGGTTCCTCAAAGAGGCATAATTTCTAATGTTCCGCATGACGGGAATTCTAACCGGGTTAGCAATGATCAGCTTCCCATTTACTCCTGTGTAATCTCTCCCTAACGACATTAAAAAATAAAAAAAAAATAAAATAAAATAAGGGGGGGGGGAGAGAGCGAGTTGTGGCCGCAGTTATTGCGCCGGTGACATTTTACGGGGGGAGGGAGAAGGGGGGGAAATGGTAATTTAATATAGATAAAAGGAACAAATTAAGTGGGCTGAAAACAGCTGCTTTAGGAAAAAGAGGGAGAAATGATAAGGCGGAGGAGTGCGGCGGTGGCTCCGGAGGGGCCGGCGGGTCCTTGGCTCCCGGCGTCACCGGGGTCACGCTGCCTCGTTTGGGTTTGGGCTTTATCCCAGCGCCTGCTCCCAGCACCACCGCATTATTTTTCCATGACTCCAGCATGAGGAAGCCGGTCTGGCCCCTCTCCCCCACCTCTGCCCTGGCCCCTGCAGACACTCCAGAGAGGGAAATGCCCTCCCAGGGACCCCCGTCCTGCCGCCGGCACCAGAGTGGGTTGGGCAGTTCGGGGGCCAGGTTTGGGTGAGAAAGGGGAGCCCAGACCCGGGAGAGCACAGGGATACACGGGAATGCACGGGAGAGCATGGGAATTGCATGTGAGAGCACGGGAATACGTGGGAGGGCACGGGAATATAAGTGAGAGCACGAGAGCACACGGGAGAGCGTAGGAAATACATGTGGGAGCACGGGAATATGAGTGAGAGTGTGGGGACACATGGGAGCACGGGAATATGAGTGAGAGCGTGGGGACACATGGGAGCACGGGAATATGAGTGAGAGCGTGGGGACACATGGGAGCACATAGGAATTACATGTGAGAGCACAGAAAACATGGGGGCTCTGCAACACTCCGGGTCACCAACACAAACCCCGGCCGGCGATGCCGGGATGTGCCCGGGATGCGCTGCCAGACCCCCCTCCCTCCCCTCCCCACTCACAGATGTAATAGTACTCGTGGCCGGGCCTGAACTCGAACCCCAGCGAGAAGGGGGTGAAGAGCTGGAACTTCTCGGAGAACTTGAGGGGCCCGTTGGGGGAGTCGGGGCGGTTGCACTCCCAGCGCTTGAAGCCGCGCTGCCGGTGGTCGCAGGACGCGTGGCCCTCGTAGTTCACCATGTACAGGATGTACCTCTCCATGCGCTCGGGCAGCGGCTCCTCGTAGTGCGGGCAGTAGATGTCCAGGTAGTCGTTGATGCTCACCTCCACCGTGTAGTCCCCGCGGTGGAACCTGCAGGGCGACTCGGGTCACTGGGGTGCACCGGGACCCTGCAGTGGTTTGGGCTGGGAGGGACCCAAACCATTGCCAGGGGCAGGGACACCTTCCACTTGGCCCAGGTTGCTCCACCCTGGCCTTGGACACTCCCTGGGATGGGGCAGCCACAGCTTCTCTGGGCGACCTGTGCCAGGGCCTCACCAGTCGGTTTAACTGTGATCCAGGGCCTGATCCCGCCCGTCCCACCCCGACATCCACATTAACCTCCAGATTAGCCCAGAGTCTCTTTGTTTTACGCCGATAAACCGGCACCACTCAGTAGGAAATGACACAAAAATGATTATTCCCGGCGATCCCGGCGGAGCACCGGCGCCGCCGCAGCCAAGCACCACAATCCCGGTGTCATTTGCGTTCTTGGCACTGCTCATCCAAGAGATTAAGGGATTAGCAGCCCTGGAGAACTCCGTGGCACATGCCAGTAAGCCCTGCTCCAGTTCCTCGGGGCGACCCCCGTGTCCCCCCTCCCCAAACTCCAGACCCCGGAGCTCCCGGCTCCGCAGCCGGGAAAGCTCGAGGCCAAATTCACAGGCGGCCCCAGGAGCCAATTTGGCAGCTTGGCTTTCCCCCCCTCATTGAGTGAGTTTTCTTTGCTAATTAATTTGAGACTCCACAGCACGGCCCCCCCTCAGCCCCCAGACTTGGGATGACCAGAGATGGGGGTCACTCCACGGCTCCAGGGCTTGGCCAGAGGCCAGAGGGGTCAGCACGGCCCTGGTGGGATGGGGGTGGTGACCAAAACCTCCCTGGCCCCCCCAGAGCAGCATCTCGGGGCTCCCTGACAGCCCCTGAGCCTGTGGTAGCTGCAAGCGGGGCTGAGACTGGATCAAACTCATCACAGAGACACCCCAAATGTGATCCCGCATCCCTGGGGCCGGCGGGATGGAGGGTGATCCCAAAGGTACCCCAAAAAGGGAAGGGTATGGGGAGGGGGCTCCTGCAGCCCCCCTCCAGCTCATTACCTGCCTCATAAGCTCTCTGATCACACAGGGAACGCGCTAATTAAGGAGCAGGGTTTCTCCCTCTCCTTCCCTCTCCTTTCCCGAGCCAGTTGTGCCAACCCTGCCCCTGGCAAGGTAACATTGGAAAATGTAAAATTAATACAAAGGGCTGGAATTTACTGGGAAACAATTTTCAAACGCGCAGAGAACAATAAAAAATATCGGAAAAAAAAAAAAGCCCACAAAAAACCCCTCTTCTTGCTGCCTTTTATTTAAAAAAAAATTATTTATTTTAATGATCGTTGCTAAAGCCCAAGCAAAGACGAGGCGGGGGGGCCCACGTATCAGGGGAATAATAATAATAATTATTATATTTTTTGGAAAAACTCACTGTGAGGGCCTTCGCCTGCCTGACAAATTGCTGAATTAAAGCTGATTAAAGCTGATAAATGGCCCAGATGGAGACAGACGTGGGGGGGGCTGCGGGGAGGGGGTCACCCTCTGTTGGGGGGGGCTCTGGGGAGGGGGTCACCCTTCACAGGGGGGCTGCAGGGAGCTGTGGGGACCCCCAGCACGGTGCACCCCACTCTGCAGGGGGTCCTGGGCTCCCCCCAGAGCAGCCCAGCCTGATGCCACGGGATGGGGATGATGCTGTGGGAAGAGGACGATCCCATCACCGGGGATGATGCCAAGGGGTGGGGCTGATGCCACCACTGGATCCGATGTCATCACTGGATCCGGTGCCATGGTCCCCCAGATGGGCAGGGTGGCATCTCCATGCTGGACACACACTGGCTTCCCAAGTTTTTACCTCCTGGATATTCACCAGGGAGGGGAAAAGCCTTCCTTGATAGGCAGCCACAGCCCAAGACCCCCAGCCCCTGAGGGTCAGAGCCAACCAGGAGAGCAAACCCTGTGCCCAAACCCTGGTCCTGGTCCCCTCAACTGCACCTCAGTGCCTCAGTTTCCCCTCTGAGCAGGAGCAGCATCCCCCAAAAATTCCCAAATTCAGGCGGTGACCCAGCGCGGGAACAAAGCGGATTTGTCTCTCTACACCCTGTGAGACCAGTCAGTGTCCCAAGGGTTAAATAATTCAGATTTTTCTTTCCTGAACAGCTTGAAAAGAGATATGATTGCGCCCGCTGGAATACGGGGGGGGGATATTATGGATGGAAAAGAGCTATTTAAGCTGAGGAACGGTGTTGGCACATAAACAAATGGGTATAAACCGGCCATGAATAAATTGAGGCTGGAAATTAGGAGGTTTGTAACCACTGGGGGCTGGACAGGGCTCGTGGGGGCAGCGAGGCGAGGGGGGAATTGGGGCAGGGGGTCCCGGGTATGGGGTCCCCCCCTCTCCAAGGGCACCCGTCCTTGCGGGGCCAGGCACTGAGAGACTTAAAATCTCCCTTCCGCTTTCATCTCCCGAAATCTCCTTCATTCAAATAGTCACAGCGTGATCAGGAGTAATAAGCCTATTACAGAGCAAAATAAAACATAGCAGCTCCCCCCCGCCCCCCCAAACCAGCCCCCCCCGGCCCTGCCGCCCTCTCCCCTGCTATTAAACACAACCTGATGGGAATTCAGCTGCAGAGCAGCCAATGCCACCCCCCGACCCCTCCCAGCCCCACCAGGGTCCCCCCCCGGGAATGGGCACAAAGCGGCTCCCGGGGCCGGGGGGTGGCAGGGAAGGGCCCCTGGGGCGCAGGAACCCACCGACCCCTGCCAGGGGCTCTTTCCTCCAGTAATCCTGTGGCTTGGCTGGGCTCTGGCAAGTCCGTGGCTGGCAATGGACTTCCCGCCGGGAACGTTTAAGCCGGTTTTCCATCTGTTTCTCCTTCTCCTCGGGCAGCCGGAATCGCTGCCGAGCCGAGTGAAGCCGAGTGTCATCCCGCGGGACGGCAGCGCCGGGCGGGAGCCAGACAAGGCTGTCAGGGACAATCTGGGCCACGCTGTCGGTCCCAGTGTCCCGGAGGCACATCCCTATTCCCTGCTCAAGAGGCAAAAGCCACTCGAGTGGGCCGGGAGGGGATGGAGCCGGAGCTGGATCCACCTGGACACCCATCTCCACCCAGTGCATCCCACCACCCCATCCCACCCGTGCCAAGGTTTATTTTAACCACGCTGGCAAACATTTGCCGTGGCAGGGAGCAAGTGCAGCCACCTCAGCAGCATCCCCAGCAGCCAGTGCATCCCAACCCCCCTTGGGGCTGAGCCCCAGCGCTGGCAGGGGTGAGATGGCATTCAGGGGACACCCCATCTCCATCATCCCCAGCCCCTGGCAGGGGTGAGATGGCATTCAGGGGACACCCCATCTCCATCATCCCCAGCCCCTGGCAGGGGTGAGATGGCATTCAGGGGACACCCCATCTCCATGGTCCCCAGCCCCTGGCAGGGGTGAGATGGCATTCAGGGGACACCCCATCTCCATCATCCCCAGCCCCTGGCAGGGGTAGTGCCTCCCGGTCCCCCGAGGCTCCGGCGCCGTCCCCGGTGCCGCGGCTCACGGAGCGCTGGTAATGTGGTCCGGGGGGACCCGCCGTACACACAGCACCTAAATTATTTAATTTCTCCAAACTACTGCACCTTTATAAATCATTAAAAGCTCCTTTTGATCTGTGTTAATGAGGTTTCCCGGGTGCGGGGCTGGGAAACGCTTCGGCGCCAGGAAAGCGACGCTGCTGATTAAAAAAATAAAGAAGGAGTGAGAGGGAGCACGGGGGGCGGGAGAGGGGACGGGCACGGGGCAGGGGGCACGGGAGACGGGCACGGGAGACGGGCACGGGGTGGTTTAGGCATGCTCGTTATGGTTTTTCTCTTTCCCTTTCCCTGTCTTCCCTTTCCCTTTTCCTTTTGCCTTCCCTTTCCTTTTCCTCTCCCTTTCTCTTTCTCTTTTTCTCCTGGGGACAGGATTGGGGAAGTGGAAAGGGATGGGAACAGGGGACAAGGATGGGGACATGGGGACAGGGATGGGAATGGGGAGGAGGATGGGGGACTGGGGTGGGCACTGGTAATGGATGCAAATTCCATGCAGAACCAGCGGGTGCCTCCCCGGCCCTGCCAGCCCCAGCGCTGGTCACAGAGCGGTGCTGGCCCAGCTGGGATGGGGGAGCAGCACCCCCGGCCCGGCTCAGCCTGGCACTCCCAAGGCAAACACCTTCATTTACGGCTATTTCCCTTTCCCTTCTTTCAAGGTAAATGACAGAAAATCCCAGGACAGCCATCAGCCTCCGAGGTAACCTCGTCCCGCCTCGGCCGCGCTCCCACCGGATTCGGCGGCTCCTGTTACCTGGGGCAACGGCGGGGAAATGACGGCTGGCATCTAAATTGCCATCATTACACTCCAGAGCCAACACTCCCCATTTACACTTTATTGTCATCTTTTGCTTTAGGGAGATGCTGAGATATTACAGGACGGGGCGAGGGAGCGGGATGAGATGGGATGTACGAGGAGAGAGACACGGAGATAAATGGGGACCCCCAGAGCTGTTATTTCAGCCTGTTTGTGGATCCGGAGGTGGATCCGGAGCCCATTCCCGTGGGCTATGGGGAGGCTCTGGCACACAGAAGAAAACCAAATTTGCTTAAATGCAAGAGCCAGCCTGTCGGGGCCTGGGCACGAGACACCTCAGAGAGGATTCCCACCAAAGTGGTGCCGAAAACGCCGCCCAAGGAGCCCCGGCCTCCTCCCCCCATTGCACCACTGGCACCCTGTTTCAGCGCTGGTGCCCTATTTTGGGGCCAGCACACCATTTCTGTGCTGGCACCCTATTGCAGGGCTGGTACCCCACTGTGGTATCACCCCAAGGGTACTCATGGGCCCCCCAAAGCAAAACCTGCTCTTGATCCTCCAAACACCAAGTCAGTTCTCCCCAGCCCAACCCGCTTTCTGCTGAGTTGCACAAAGAAAAATGCAAAGCCAAACTTGGGGTGTCACCAACCCCCCCCAGCTCTGCTCGGGGACCACGGTGAGACGAGGCCAGGGGGGCAGAGCGAGGGGGAGCTGCTGGGAACAGCAGAGGGAGGAACGGGGCCTTTCAAGTGTTTGCAGCAAAAAAAGGAAAGAAAGAAAAAAGCAAAGAGTTCAAAAACTGAGCAGCTTTTCAGGGAAGAGCCCGGGTGGCTCTGCCCCTGCTCCCGCTGCGCCGTGCGTGGGATTGGGATCACGGAGATCCCACCCAATGTCTCCCTGAGAGGGACCCTGGAGCTCGTAACTGTGCACACGCCTGGGATAAACCCAACCAGAGCTGTGAACACAAGAGCTGGGAGCTGGCTGACCCTCTGGATGAGCCTGGAGCTGGCTGACCCCCTGGATGAGCTGGGAGCTGGCTGACCCCCTGGATGAGCCTGGAGCTGGCTGACCCTCTGGATGAGCCTGGAGCTGGCTGACCCCCTGGATGAGCCTGGAGCTGGCTGACCCCCTGGATGAGCTGGGAGCTGGCTGACCCTCTGGATGAGCTGGGAGCTGGCTGCTCCACGATGACCCAGCACAGCATGGACAAGCCAGATGGATGGATCCTGCCACGATGCCAGCATGGATCAGACAGGTTTTTCCCTCAGATTCATGACATCACTCTCTTGTCCAGAAATAAACAGAGATGTCAATACGAAATCGTATTTTTGGCACACAAATACTCCATTTTCCATGTGCCAGAGCCTATCCCGGGAGGACAAACCCACTCTCCAGGCAGGTGAAGCCCCTTTTTGGGGTGCTCTACCCTCTCCCACCAACCGAAGCTCCCTGGAACTGCTCCAGCTGCTGCAATTCCCACCACTCACCCCTCATTAGCATGGATGCTCGTTAGCCCAGCGCTGAGACTAATCAATACTGCCATTAACCGAGTCCCTGGAATTAATGCGCTTGAACCTGGCAGGCCGGAGGATATTGGTCATTTTTCCACTTAACCTGGCAGGAGGAGTTTTTCCCTTTGCTGGTGGCAGTGGATCGTGGAGGCAAACTGGGACAGTTCATCCCAACAGCTTCTGGCTCCACCACCAGCTCTTGGTCATCCCAAGGTTGCCGGATGCTCCCGAACCTCTGGGAGCACCATCAGCCCAAGGGAAGGGCAGACCCTGCCCCACTCTGTGGGGTTGGAGAGGGCTCTGGGGCAGCTCTGGGGCCTCCATCCCAGCGTGGGGACCCCCACGATGTGACCCTCTGGTGCCACCCCATCCCTGCAGCTGCTCCATCCCTTCTGCTGCAGGTCCCCAGCCCCGGTGCCCTCCCGGCCCCGGGCGGGCACAGCCGAGTTGTTCTCCGGGGCACCCCGGAGCCACCCTCCCCTGCTGCTCCCGCCGCCTCGCAGTGCCTCTGGCTAAACAGAGATCAGAAATGTTAGATCTTTCTTAACATCTCCTGCCAGCACTGTCAGTGGCCCTCTCCAGAGTACCAGGGCCCTCTGTTATGTAAACACAGCACATTCTCTGTCAAAGATTAAAAAAAAAAAAGCCTCATTTGCACATAAAAGCAGCCTCTGCACTAGTTCCGGGCACTGTGGCATGTAAGGAAGACTGTAGGTTAAATTCAATAATAAAGTGGGGCGGCGCAGAGGTCCCGCTCCGGCTCCTTCTCCCGCAGCCCAGCCCCGGACGCTGCGGCCACCGAGCGGGGCCGGCCACGAGCCCCCGGGATGGGGACTGGGGAGGCACCGCGAGCCCCGGCCTGGGGTGTGGGTGAATGACCCCAGTCCCCCACTGCTCAGACACCCTGGGCCCCCACCCCGGTGTTCCTCTGTGCCCCCCTCGTGCCCACGGCACGCCCAGACACTGCCATTCCCACCTGTCCCCTTGGCAGCCCATCCAGAGCAGGGCACGCTGCCCCACAGCCCTCCCCACGTGCTTCTGGGAGCCCCGTGTGTGCCGAGGGGAGCCGGCACCGCCCTCACACCCTGGCACGGCTCTGCCGGCGGCACCGCCGGAGCAGCTCCGGGGCACCGAGGCACCAGGAGCCCCCTGGATCGCGGGAGTGACGTCCCTTGCTGCCAGCCCTGGGTGATGTGATGCCCACAGGATGGCACCGAGGGGTCTCCAGCCACGACTGCCCCTCGCCCTCCCCTGGGAGCGCCGGCGCCCAGGCGGCTCCGGGGATGGCGGCAGCCAGCCGGGATCCACGGCCCGGATCCGCGGAAATCGAATCACAGCACAAATTCACTGCTGGAGAGACCGGGGCTGGAAAGTGTAACAGTAATTGTGTTACTGCCGGCAGGGCCTCGGCTGCTCCCAGGGAGCCACGGGGGCACGGCGGGCTGGGCACGGTAGGTGGGGACGGTAAGGTGGGCACGGCAGGATGGGCACAGAGGGATGGACACGACAGGATGGGAACGATGGGATGGGCATGGCAATGGCGGCACAAGGGGCTCGCTGGACACCCAAATCCCCCAGACCCAGCGGGGAGAGGAATGAGGGCCCAGGAGGGAGAAGGGCGAGGGCCAGCGGAGGGCACGTGGAGCCAGATGGATGCGGAAGGGGCAGAGCCAGGTGGCACGAGGGGTCATGGTGGTGGCTGACAGTGAAGGTGACGGGGGCACCGGGGTCTGGAGGGAGGCGAGAGAGGAGAGGCCGCCCTTGCTCCCGAATCCCGGATTGTTCCCATCCCAGCCTGGCACACACGTCCCCGTGTACACCGAGCTCTCTGCGCACCAGCCCCGCTCTCGCCCCCGCCGCCGGGCCCGGCACGTCTCTCGCAGCCGGATCCCGGGCACGTGCCAGCCCGTGCACGGGCCCACGCGTGCTCATCCGTGCTCCGGCGGCTCACGCTGAGCGCCCTAATTACCGCGTCTGGCCAGGCGGGCGGGCGCTGATAACAGGCACGGGACGGAGCCGCTGGGGGTTATCAACCGGTGACAGCCGGGCCCCCCCGCCGCCCGCGCCGGCTCCGCGCCACAGCCCGCTGGGACGGCAGGATCAAGGCGCCCTTTGGGGGTCTCCGGCGGGGGACGGGGTAAACAGCCCCCTGGGAGTGACCTCGTTAGCACGGCCGAG